CTTTAAGACCCCAGACGCTATATCTTTTGATAGCCAGGCACCCTCAGCTTTCTTCACCACATTTGCTTATGCACACATTTGAGACGGATATTTTTAAAAACAAAAGTACCTAGGCCACTTTCTTGCTTGGAACCTTTTGAAGGTTTCATATTATCCAGATGTCTGCGTTCATAGTCCTTACCATGGACTGAGGACCTGCAGATATAGCTTCTGTTTTCCTAAGCCTGACGTCTACCACCATTCCAACCATACGTTCCCATTCCTAAGGAACCCTGGTAGTGTAGTGGTTTATGTGATGGGCTGCTAACTGCAAGGCCAACAATTAAAAACTGCCAGCTGCTCAGAGGGGGAAAGATGAGGCTTTCTCCTCTTGTAAACAGGGACTGACAGCGACAGGACTGCACAGGGGTCGTTCTTCGCTGCCCTATAGGGTCCCCCTGAGTCAGAATCAACTGGCTGGCACTCGGTTGTTGGTATGCCCTGTCCTGCTGCAGGGTCTTTGCCCATGCTATTCCCTATCCCCTGGAACCTCTTCCTGCCCCTTTATTTAGCACCAGTTAAACCAGGTGACCCCATGTGTGTCAGAACCTCACTGTGCCTCATAGTGGTTTCCATGGCTGTGTTTCTAAGAAGTTGATTGCCAGGCCTCCCTTCCAAGGCACCTCTTGGTAGACTCAAGCCTTTGCTTTTTGGACAGCAGCCCAAACCATAGTTAGCATGTTTTATTCCTGAGGTCCCAGTTAAGACAATCCATCTACAGAGAAACCTTCCCTTGCTTACTTGATGTCACCCCACCCCAGGAGCACTTTGTGCCCCTTTATATCACTCATCTCCCTTGTGTGGCTATTTTGTCAACATCTCTCTTCCCTTTTAGATTGTGAACTACTGAGGGAGGAACCTGTCTTGTTCGTAGATCTATTCCCCATGTCCTCCGGGCACCTGATAATGTTTGTTGACCAACATTCCAAACCCACAGTGACCCTACATAGTTTCCGAGGCTGTAACTCTTTATGGGGGCACAGGTAGCCTACCTATCATTCACAGAGCAGCTGGTGTTTCAACCACTGAACTTGCAGTTAGTAGTCCTAAAGCTTAACCAGCAGTAAGTGCCACCGGGGCTGCCAATGAAGAGTAAATGCCAGCGCTGAAGATACTTCCAAGCTCTGCTGCTCAGACTGATTTACTGTAGAAAGTTTCCTTGGACTTGTGTGAAAACACAAATGGAAAAAGCCCCTGCCCTCAGCAGGATCATTATGTTTGTTGGAAAAGGAAATCCTTCAGAGTAGGTGGATTGATTTCCTACTGCTGGCCCACAAAGCACTCTGGAGTCATGGAGCCTTGATCACCTGTGGTATGATTTGTCACCTGTTTACTATGCTGCGTCATAAAGTGGTGGCCCCAGGATCACTCAGATGAGGAAGTCAGTAGTGGCCTGTGCTATTATTTCCTTTAGATAGTTTGAGTGACTACTGGGCTCTCTCAGGCAGAGACCTACATTCCTTTAATGTTAACCACCTGATAGATGACTTCATTTTGCTAGCTTGTTATTTTTTGGTGCTGATCACTTGCTACTTAAGAGACAGCCCTAAGAACTGTTCCAGTCTTTCAGTATCTTCCTCTGCTAAAACAGCATCTACCCCAAAGGCCCCTGATCTTGGTAGATTATGGGATGGAAACAGGAGATGCTTAGATTGAGAGCTACTCTGCAGGGGGAGCACCGTCTGTAGGCATATAAAATATTTGTACGGTTGATCTTAGATTTTCAATGTCGACATTCATTAATCGTAAGAGCACCTGTCTTGTTTTTGTGCATATTATTATCTCTGCAGGTCTATCTAGATAAGCTAGGCGGGATAAAGAGTCTGGAGGAGAATACAACGGGACTGACGGCTCTGGGGGGACATGGGAGAAGGGGAGGTGGGGGAAAGGAAGTGGTATTAACAAGCCCAGGGACAAGGGAACAGCAAGTGATCCAGAATTGGTGACAGGGAAAGTGTAAGAGGCTTGGTAGGGCTTGATCAAGGGCAATGTAACTGAGAGGAATTACTGAAACCCTAATGAAGGCTGAGCATGGTAGTGGGACAAGAGGAAAGTAAAAGGAAAGAGGAAAGAACTAGGAGGCAAAGAGCATTTATAGAGGTCTAAATACAGGCATGTACATATGTAAATGTAAATATGATGATGAGGAAATAGATCTACGTACATATATTTATATGTTAAGTATCAAGGCAGCAGACTGAGTGAGGCTTCCACTCAAGTACTCCCTCAATGCAAGAACACCTTGTTCTCTTAAACTGGCATTCCATGATGTTCACCTTCCCAACATGATCACTGAAGACAAATGTGTGCATAAACAAATGTGGTGAAGAAAGCTGATAGTGTTCAGCTATCAAATGATATAGCATCTGGAGTCTTAAATGCTTGAAGATAAACAAGCGGCCATCTAGCTGAGAAGCAACAAAGCCCACATGAAAGAAGCACACCAGCCTGTGTGATCATGAGGTGTCAATGGGATCAGGTATCAGGCATCAAAGAACAAAAATTCATATTGTGAATGAGGGGGAGTGCGAAGTGGGGATCCAAAGCCCATCTGTAGGCAACTGGATATCCCCTTACAGAAGGGTCTCAGGGAGGAGACG